GGGGGGGTGGGAAATCTCACCTGGGCTGGTCCATTTCCCCTGCAGGGGTGGCCGGGGCAAAGAGGTCGGGCGGGCCGGTCCATTCGCGCCACGGGTAGAGGAGGGGAGGAGGACGGGGCGCGGGGCAGGGGCGGGATGAGGAGCCTGCGCGGGGGCCGCGGCGCTTTCCCCGCCCCGCGCGGCAGGGAAGGCTCTCCGGCCCCGCGGGCAGGGGCGCTGGGAGCGCGGGAGAGACCCCGAGCCCCCCCGCGCCGCCTCGCGGGGTGGGCGCGCCCGGCCGCTCGCCCTCAGCAGAGGCGGCTCGGCGCGCCCGAGGCGCGAGGGCGGCGGGGCCGCCGCGGGCCGCGCGCAGGAGGGTCCCTTCTCCCGCACCCCGGGGGTCCCTTTCCCCGCACTCCCCCCCCCSGCCCCAGGGCAGTACCTGCTCCGCGAGGACGGCTCCGTCCGCAGCCCTCGGCTTTGCGTAGTTCCAGCAGCTCTGAAGTTGTGTTCAGCGCTGTTAGTGCCCACGCTTGAAGGYGATGCTCGGCAACGTTATATAAGTGGCTCTTCTTTCTGCCCTGCTCGTGCCTTGCAAAACAAATAAATAAAAAGGGCAACAAAAAAGTCATAGTGTTCTTGTACATGTTGATACACTCTAGCAAACCGCCTTTTTGAAACAGCCAAGATCCCTTGTAGCGTCTCTCAAATTTTGGTCTTTCTTCTCCTTTTAATGCAAATCTCACAAGTTCACTTTTTTATTTTCAAGGTAAAGTGTCTTGGGACTGTTTTGTACACCCAAATGCTTCATAGATGCTATGGCTTCATTCCAATGGCCTTACGTAAATTAAAATGCTTGTGCTGACATAGTCCTGCAAAATATGACACTCCCTTGCAAGTTTTCCTTGCTGAGAAACTTGGAAGTTTAGCTCTGATTTCAAAGTCAAAACTGACAGCCCTGCTGATAGTGTAGGCTTGAGATTTCCCCACATCTTCTGTTAGTTCTGAGAAATTTTGCCTTCTTTGTATCATGTTTGCTTTCCCTTGCTGTAAAGCTGCTTAGAAGTACCCAAGTTTGAACTTTATTACAAAAAGCACAAGAACGTCATACTGTTAATGTTTGCTGATTTATGATTTTTGTTGTAGAGCTTAAATAATGAAAAAGGTAGTTTAGTGCCATTAAAGTTAACAGCGGTGTCTATTTATGGTAGGAGAAGYCAGTTATTGGTCACTCACTGCTTCATAATTGACTTTACAGACAGTAAAGTGATCTTGCATTTCTTGCCATTTTTACAGTCAGTCAGAAATGTACATTGGTAAATATGTCTCACAGTGCCACTTTGTGTCTCTTGCTTTTCCTTCTGCTTATTGTTTCTTCTTCCTGGATATCCTGTGAAGTCAGCTCCCTCCACAGAAGTGTGATAAAATAACAGTTCTTATTTCCCCAGAGACTTTGACATGCATTTTACGAAAAGCATCCTTTTAGTCTCATAGAACTAAGGATAAACTAATTTATAGGAGCTTAAAAGAACAATGCAAATGAAAACACCAGGTGAATCTCTGGTTATCTGAGACTACTGCTGTAAACAAGAAGAACTAAATGAATCACAACATCTCCAATGTAAGATGATATTCATTATGTAAAAGATGCCAATTGTGTCTCTTTAGCAGCTCAGGGAAGAACCCTGGGTGCTGTTAGTTTAGCACTTAGACACCAAAGCCTGTGCTGCCCCCGCGCTCATGGAGCTCACCTGGAACTGAAGATCTTTCCGATGGCTTCAACAGACGTTGAGTCAAGCCGTAGTGTAGTACATAGTAGGTGGCAGTAAGAAATGGATCTTTCTGTACAACAACCATTTTGTTAAAATTTGTCTCAGAATTTTGCATATTCACCTAGTGCTTTCCAGCATGCAGCACTTCAGCAGCCTTCACTGAAAGAAACTTAAATTTTGTGGATATCCATTTAGTAAAATATTCAAAGTGGATTAATTAACATAAAATGTTTTGTTCAGAACAACTTAATTTATTTCACTTTTTAAAGTACTTTTCTTCGAGTGGTGTCTGTCCAATGCCCTTTTTATGTTGTACTACTAGTGATCATGCACAAAAAGCAGTGCAATGTTAAAAGGGCATTGGCCAGCAATACTATCTACATTGCTTGTTATTATTATTATTCTATGGAATCRTAAGTCAAAAGTCCTATATGTCTAAGACCAGCAGATGATTTGACAAACAACTATAAAATGGGATTGTCAGAGAGTTATTATTTTACAGTCATGATCTCCTAGTTAATTGTGAAGAAGAAATATGAACTGATCTTTTAATGACAAATACCATCAAATCTAGGTGTCGGTCCTTATAGATAAAAAGGACAAAGGACAAAAGGATCTTCCCACAAAAAGGGAAGAACACTGTGCAGCATTGCCACTTCTCTGCAAAATATTGTAGATGATGTCCCAGGTGTAGAGTTAACTCAGGTTGTTGCTCTGGGTGGATCAGTCATCTTTTATATCCACTCCCTGTTTCTTTGCATTTGTTGTTAAGAATGCTAACACCTACAAACCCCAGGAGTTCTTAAAAATTTTATATGAAGTTATTGTTTTTTTTAATAATAGCATTTTATTGCGATTTATGAAATACACCCCCACATTCATTGTCCTCTAATTTCAAATGGTTACCTCAATGGTGTTTTAAATCCACAATGTTGAGAAATCTTGTCATGTTTAAATGCATTTAAAAGTGACTCAACACCTTCAAATCAGAAGAATAAACTGTAGCATCCAGAAAATGCTCCCTGTAATGCAGTTTGAGAACATCTGTCTAATAGCACTTTTCTCGCTGTAAGACAAATCCAAAAGATAATTACGTTTGGAAATGTCATTTCCAATTGAATGAACACTTTTTTTTTTTTTTTAATGAATTTCTGACAGATCTTTGATTTTTTTCCCCCCTTTCTCTCTTGGCCAGTGGAATGGCAGTGATTCTAAGTAATAATAATATCTTGAAATACAGAAGTTCTTACATGTCAGTATCAGGACTCGGTAAACATTAGCCTTATTCAAATGTCCACAACATACAAAAGCACTATCTGACTCAACCAATTTTAACTAATACATATTTTGAGAGTACTGATTACTTGTGCAGAATTCTTGCTGCTTACGAATGCTCTGACTTTATTGCACTACTGTACTTTACAGCTAGCAGTGCAATAGTATTGTCAAAGCATCTGAAAGCAGAGTACACAGCAGTGGCTTGAATCTTGCCTTACAGTTCTAACACTTTCTTCAAAGCCTGTGAGTAAATTGCAACATCTGCATTTCATAAATGTGCATTTTTGTGTGATTCTATGTAATATTCATCATGCAAATGAACCTAACCTATAATATTAAGATGAGATTTTTACAGGTGTATGCTTCCTGAAATAGAGCAAGAAATAATTATTTCCATTTATAAAATATGGGAAAATGGGTTTTAATGGAGGAACATATCTCAGTGCTTATTAACTGTGCTTTGAAATTGTTAATAAATTTTGTTTATTTTAAACAGCAGTATGCTTTCAGGAAAAAGCAGTGATATTGAATCGTAATGTTTTCATAAAGGACAAGTCTTAAAAATACTGTAATGTGATGATTCAGATTCATATTTAATTTTTAATGTCCTGAATCACAGTTGCGCAAAGGAATTAGTGGCTTACTGTCATTCTATATATTTCAATATCAATTCTGAAATATTTTTAAGGACAGGACTTCATGGATACTTTTTAAAGACACTCACATTCATTGTGTGCATTCCTAATAATTAATAATTTGATGGAGGAGATGGAGAAAAGCAGGAAGTGGCTTGATTGGTTGTCTGTCCCAAGAACTGAAGAATTATGAATGTTTGCCAGTGGAGGGGAACAGATGTGGTTAGGGAAAGACTGAAGGTTAAAACCTCAACATTCTTCTGTATCCAGGCCTAACTACCAGAATACAAATAGCCAAAAAGCCTACAACATCTTTTAAATTAGGTACCACTATGGTACTGCCAATTAATACTTTGAGATAAGAGTTAATAAATACAGTCTTATTTTGAATCTTTTGGAGGGGAAAAAAAAAAAGAAGTAATGATAACTTCAGAGTTAATCTCATTTTAAATAGTGGAACCCACACTGAGTTAAGTAACTTCCAAGCATTTAGCTTGCTTTCATCATAGTCTCTTTTGTGCCTGTGAATTCCCCAAATAATTACATTCAGAAGAATTTCATGTTTGTTTCATGAACTGAAAGGCTGCCTTTTTTTTTTTTTTTTTTTTGTTAAGTAGAAGTCCTTAATAGACATTAAAATTGCAGGCTTTAATTAATTAACTAAATATAACGCTATCAGCACACTGTTTTACAAGGCAATTATCTAATTCTCTGGTGGGTCATTTATCCCAAGGATAGAATTGTGATGTCATCAATTTGATTATCGATTTGTTAGTATGATTTATTAAAGAATAATCAAATGTGTTATGAGTATTATAATCATCTGAAAGAATACATTCCTAATATCATTAATAACAAAGTCTCTATGCTTGGATCCTGAACACTTACTCATAATATTTGCTGTGTAAATAACTGAGCACTGCAGTTTTGCTAATAGAATTTTTAATGCTTGAAAAGAAAAGCAGCTAGCCAAGAAAAAGCTCTAAAAATCAATGGAGAGTATCCTAATACCTCAGGGAAGAAGACTCCTTTTACATTCTGAGACAATCAGTTTTAAACAAGATGCATTGTTCTTGTCTCTTGATAGAACTTCCCTGTTTGGAGTACTAGTTAAAAACTTCATCCTGAGAGGTTTTGCTTAGAAAAGGGCATTTAATCTAGGAAGAAGTGGAAATGTTTACAAGCATTTGGTGCAGCTGTGTGAAAAAGGTACTAAGGGCAAGATGAAAAGGATGCAAAGAGAACAGTTAGGGTCCATTCGTTGGTGGTAGAATTGGTAGGAGTCTGTGTACGTCTCTAAGCGCAGCTCRGTGTGCAGGGTTTCATTTAATTCTTGCATGTGTAAGGAAAATACGTCTGGGTCTGCATTTGTAGTGGGGACAGCTGGGCATAGGGATACCTGAGCCAAGTAGCTCAGCTGTAGGATAGCACAGGAATTTTGCAAAGTAATATGCTAGGTATCTCATTTTATTATCTAACTAATTAGTTGGTAGTTTTTAACTTCTAAAAATTACACATTTATTTATTTATTTCAGTCTAGAAATGTGTCAGTATAATTGGCAAACATTAGGTAAGAGCATAGACAGGAGGATTAGGAACTTACGTGTATAGCATATCTGTCTTTAAAATGGAGGCACCTGGCTTCTGCTTTCCTGAAATACAAGAAAGACAAATGGATGAGTTTTATTTACAGTTTTCATTTTTTAATATACTGTGGCTTATCTTAAATATTTTAGTTCCAGAAGGCAGAATCTGATCTGGATTATATTCAACACAAACTGGAGTTTGAAATAATGAAAAGCCTTCCTGATAATCCAACAGCAGAGGTAGTATTTTCAGATTAAATTCATAGATTTTATTGTACTTTGCATGAACTTTTAATAAGTGAATGATAATAAATAGGTAGGTTTTTTAATCTTAAAATATATGTTAGTTTTCTTTTACCTAGTTGATAGCTTTTTACTATTATAAAGCATTTCTTAAATCCTATAGACAGATAACTGGCTAAATATATATTCAACAACTCTATACAGTTCCTGTATAGTGAAATTCTTACATTTTGCTTCGAGAAATTAGTAGTAGTATTAACAGCTAATTGTCAGAGGCAGTTTCTGATATTAGCTAAAATAAACCAATAGCTGATACCAAACATAAACTTACCAGCAAACAATGACTAAATTCATGCTTGGGAGAGAGGTGAGAGAAACATGTCAGCATGTAACCGGATTTTATAAATTTGTCCTATCTCCATGATATTGTGACATACAGTGGAACAATAACCTTTTGAATTAGATGTCTCTCATTTATTCTAAATTAGAGAAGACATTAAAATCACCAATACAGTAAATCAGTACCTCTATTTTATGTACAGAACTGTGCTATTTTAACATTTTATATAACTTCTGCTTATGAGAAATTAAATGTATAGCTGAAACTGATGGGCATGGCTAAGATTGCCTCATCACTTTCATTGTGGAGGTTCATTCCACGTTACATATTAGTGACTGCCTATACTTTTGAGTGGCCAATTAATTTCTATAGTAGTTTAAATGTATGTTTAATTTCTATATAGGAAAATCCAGTTACTCTCTTAGAAGAACTTGCAATGGTGAAGTCTCGTTATAAAATGATGTGTGTGCAGCTGGAAAAAGTTTCCACAGAGCAGAGAGAATCTATGAACTGCATTCGTGCTGCCCTAGAAAACACAATGAAGATGGTTCAGGCACTACAGCAACATACTGATCTTGAGGTACCATTTTCATTTTACTTCTGTAAATGAGCATGTATTTGTGTAACCTGTGAGTTACTACTCATTAATGTGAGTAGTTGGACTGAAAAATATTTTGATAAATCACAAGCCTGATTCATCACCCCACAGTTGGGGGAATGTGTAACTCTGGAACGTTCCTTTTTATGAACTCATTTATTGGTATTAAATGGATATTAGAATTGGATTTTCAGAAATATTCAGCATGTAAACTTGCTTTCATTTGAAATAAAGTAGAAATCTACTATTAGCTTCCATGAGAAAAGGGTTAGACAAACAGTGAGTTCCTCTGTAAATACCAGCATTTTTGGAACTGAAAGTATCAGAATTCTTTCTCTTTAGCGCTTGCCTCTGTCAGAAGAAGAACAGGCTGCAGCACAACAGTTAACCTGCCAGGGTGTCAACGAAATGAAATCGCTGGAGGAAGAGGTAATTAGATGACAGTGTCTGTATTTCAGAAACTATTAATCTGAGTAGTTCAAATGAAGTCAGGAGGACTCTTTTTGTGACTTAATACCTTTGAAAGGAATGAAAAATTTCAGGCATGGGGCTACAATTTTTCACAAACCTTTTTGGTTTGATTGTATGTGATTACATTGCTGATTTGTCTCAATTAAATTACCTGTGGAGGAAAAAAAAAAATCACCTTGTTTTGACACAAGACTTTGAAGACCTTCATAGGGAAATGTTTCTGTTTATTTTCAGAGATGCAGATGGTTGCTGCTCTTGTTGATCTGTTAACACATGCAAGAAGCCTTTGGGTGGGAGTGAAGGGTGTAATTGCTTCAATCCCATGTATATCAAAATGGAGAGAAATTTAATTTCCTGTAACATATTAATACAGGTTGGAGTATGAATAAGAATTATTGAAGTATATTGCAACGATAACACAGCAGAACATAGCTGTAAATAATAATAGTTAAAAAGTTATTTTCTCAGAGTGACTCAAAGCACAAAATTCTAATAAATCACCTGCAAAGGTTCGGTGTGGTTCTTATGTTAAAAGCAAAATATTAAAGAAAGACTGTAATTATCTTACTGATCTTATTTTTTTATACATATTTTTTCATGGTCCACTCACCTCTATCAAATGATTTCTTGAGATCCCTGGTATGAAATGGTAAAATGCAGTTACTAATATAGATGTGCAAACTATAAAAACTAATTTCTGAGTAAAATTCCAACAAGTCTTGAAATCTCTCTCATTTATTTTTAGCCAGTTAGTTCAGAATCTGCAGTCCCTGAGTCAACTGAAGGTAAGTGCTGGAGAAAAAAAATCTTCCTACTGTTCCCTTTTTTTCTCTTGAGCATGTAGACTGATCTCCCCCACCACACACAGCCCCTGGAAGTTTTGTAAATAATATTAATATTTCCTAAGGCTTTTGTCTTCAGTATGTGTCATACATGTCTTATATTTTCAATTTTCTAGAATCACAATTCAAGCCTGTGACTGAAGAAATGCTTATGACTGTACCAAGGAGTATCAGAAGTACTGTTAAACTGGCAGACTTAAACCATTTTTACAGGGAGTTATTTAACCACTTCATTGTAAATAAAAACAGGTAAGACTGGAAGCAATCAATTAGTAGACTTTTATAATCTGTAAAGAAATTTCAGCCTTTTTAAACTAAATGAAAGCAGTTGTTAACTTTTAAGTTAGTTAACCATTTGCTTCTATAGTATAACTTTATTTTTTGATTTCCCTGACTTATGCCATTGCTGGTTTTTATATATATATATATATATATATGTGTATATATATATATATATATTTCAAAGTGACATGCCATCATAATAAACTCTCCAAATTTGTTTGCATAAAAATGACTTATAATTTCATATTTTTCAAAACTGCATGTCAAGTCCTTCAGAAACAGATTTTCTTTCTGTTTGATTCACTGAACAGATGTCCAAAACTGGGTCTACTCAGAACTAAGTTTTGCTGACACAGTCTTATTGGAAAATCCTTTAGCTTTCAGAACCAGGAAAAAATATAACCTTTACTTGACTCAAATTGCTACCCCAAATCCTGACCTGGGACCTTGACTCGAGCCCTTGTCCCTGAGCCCCGACTCCCATCTGTGTTTTCTGCTGTGGATATTGTCAAGTTGACAGTAAAAAATGAAGCAGCTTTTAACCCAGCAATTCTTGGACATTAAGCTTGGACTGTTCTTTGAAGCAGCACAGTGAGATTGATGGCAAGGTGCCTAAATGTGAAAACTACAGAGCACTTGCAAAAATCAGTCTTTAAACAGTATGAGCCTTTTAATCAGTGCCTGGCAGGCCTGATGTTTGATACCCTTCTTTGCTGAATAATTTGCTCTTGTCTTACAGAGCAGCACTCAGTATTTCACAGATGAACAAGATGAATTTGAAAGCCACTGACTCAAGAGTCCGCATCTTGAAAGAACTCTCTATTGTAGAACTCGACAAACAAGGAAATGTTAAGTTAGCTGTGTAAATGAAAGCTCAGTCCATTCTTATTGGACATAGAAGCATCTTGATTACAGCTGCTGGATTATTCACAAGTATTGCTTTGGCATCAAGGAGCTACCAGTGTGCTCTTAGAAAGCTGTTAATACTTCTGTGTACAAATTTTGTTTATAGAACTTCAAATTGCAGAGTTAATTATTTTGGTTGGAATTTTATCTTGGATATTTATAGTCTATAGTGGATGCATTTCTGAGGAGTTAACCATGTGGCAATTCTATATTCCTGTTGACATTGCTGAGTGGGTTTTTATGATGAATAACCCAAATTGTACTTACATTCCTGAATAAATGATTAAAGTTAAGCAGGCCATCAGTGTATTCATTCTCAATGTGAATGGTCCTTTTTTGTTTTCCTTTGGTGTGTGCTGTCTCGGTTGCAGCCTCGTGATGCTGCAGGATCGCAGAGAAGCAGAGGTTGGAAGGGATGTCTGGAGAGATCTCTCCTGAGCAGGGTGTGCTGTAGGCAGCCATGGATCACATCTTGTCACCTTTTCAGTATCTCTGAGTTTGGAGACTTCACACCCTCTCTGGGCAGTCTGTTGCAGTGTTGTACCACTCTGACAGGAAAAGGTTTCTTCTGCTTTAAATGGAATTTCCTGTCATGCAGTTTGTGCCAGTGTAACTGAATTGCTCCTGTGAGTTGTATTTTTTGTTCACTACTGCAATATTGAAAGATAGAATCCCACTTCAAGGAAAATCCTTTCCCCATGGAGCTGTATGCCACATTCACATGAGCAACACTCCCGAGCACTGAATCCCATTTATACATTGATATATTAGACTAATAAACTTCTGTTTTCCTTCACTGCTGCCTAACAACCGTCTTCAGAGTGAAAGAATTGGCGTGAGGGGTCGAGTTACTTGCGCTACTTTTTGGGAATTGTCCTGCGTGCACCGGTATTTGTCACCAGAAGACCTGAAGAGGCAAGTGGATGAGAACAGGCCCTGAGGAGCGTGTTTCTGTCACCATGGCTGCAGGGAGGCTTGTTCAAACCGAGAGGTGGCCGCGGCTGCCGGCGAGGAGCAGGGCGGTCGATGCGGGGAGTTTTCTGCCCGTTTTCAGCCGTTTGCGCCGAGCCCTGCGGCGGTTACGCGCGCTCCCCTCACAGGGGCCGCGCCTCAACGGCCG